AATTGCTGTTATTGGTCTGTGACAAGACATAATTGTTGTTCCATTCAAATATTCGAGTAACATTTTCTTCAAACTGAGACAAAAATGTGATGAAACAGCTACCCCTTTTCTTTCCACAATGTTACAAAGTTTGTCAATAAATATTTGGAACATTATCAGACTTTAAAAAACCAGGGAAAGTGGCGTAGTCTAAAAACTTTTGTGAGTAAACGACTATAGAGATTTTTTAATCTTGCAACTAATGATTGGCAGAATGACTGAGGATTTGGAATACCTTGCATTCAATCATACAAACAGCAGGAGAACCTTGATAATAATATAACATAAATACGACAGGCACTATCCGGTGGTATAATCGGAACTGGTTCTTAATCTATTTTGTGCACACTGTTCCATGTTTTATCAAAGTAGAACACATTTGAGAAGAAACCTAGTTTCATATAATGATGGCATTTGATGGCAAACAAAAGTTCTGAAAAAAACGTACTTATTTTTTTAAGTATTTTTAGTGAGAGTTGTACACTAGTTAAATTGGCGTACAGTCATATTTCATTGGCGCCATGTGTACAAATACAAGAAAGCTCTCTGCCTGAAATTTGTGATATGGGTACAATGAGAATAGATGACCCAGGGAAATATTTCCGATGTGCGGTGTAATCTGAAGACTCATTGGTCTGAGAACTCTGGTCTCCCTTTCGCTGGAACAAGAGTGAGTGAGTTCAAATTTATCGTTACAATATTTCAGCCATGTCATGATGACGCAGAAGCTAGACTAGGGCGGCCTGTTCAACAAAGGTATTTTAATGCTAAGGTGAACTTAATTCCCATACTTTAAAATAGCCTTATGGGGCAACGTAGCACTAAGGCCACATTGTGGAATGATAAATGAATAACAACTCCACAGTACAGCGACACAGGTGATGGAGGAACTGGGTGTATACACATCCATGAAGTGTTGACGGTCACTGCAACCTGACTATAAACGTGAAGAACATGTACAGTCATCCAGGAATCACAGAACACTGCTCACCTTGTAATGAACCCAGGCGTAGCCCTGTAATGGCGGCCATCGTATACCGATAACGCAGATGACAGTTCTACAGAAACCGTATATTTAGAGAAAGGTCAAACCCTTTAGAAATATGCGACGACCTTGATCTGTACAGAAGATTTTGATTCAGGACAATTGACATTTTCAAGACAGTGAATACAATCAGAGGTGATAAAGATTATGGCTCGTACCGTAATTCCACCCTTACCCCGGAAATGCAGGTACTCGTAGCCTTACGGTTTTATGCTACGGGATCATTTCAAAATGTAGTTGGGGATACTGTCAATGTTCATCAATCTACCGTTCGTCGAACAATTCGCAGAGTTTCAGTGTCGAATGAATCAGTGGATCTACTTTCCTGACCAAAACGAACTTGTATCACTGATAGACAGTTTTTACAACATGGCAAAGGTGTAGTAGGATGTGCTGCTAAGTTGTTTCGCGCCTTTTCCTGGTGGTTGAAAAACTTTGAAAATCTGAAAATAGCACACCATGCCTGGACGTAAATCCATTAAGTCGGGTGTAGTAACACCTTGGCTTAACCGACGCTGTGCATGACATGTAAGAATAGGGCGCTGCTAAGCCCGACGTAGTGTATTACGCCTGACGTTAGCTGCGCCCAATATGTGCATATTGCCACAGGATGCAGTGGCTAGTAAGGACAGCTGTCTATAGTGTCCCACGCAGCCCCTTCAGCCATTCCCATATTAAAGCATCCAACATATATACAAATATACCCTGACTGAGGCATAAATCATTGTACACATTTAACCACCGATTTAATCTATAAAGTTACATCTGTAAATAATTATTATCCACAAAATATATATACAAGTGATATCATCACACATATACCCTGTCCCATCTGAAAAACACCCCACAAAACACATTTAAAAGAAAAATAACAGTTTAAATTAGGGTTTTCCTTGCTTCACATGCTAAAATCAAATACTGTATTTTCTTCTATTAAGCGCCGGGTCTCTTTTAGCCGGGCCTCTAATAACCGCCGGGATAAAGCAGTGCTTTAAGAAATATGCCGGGCCTCTAATAAGCGCCGGGTATAGACCTTTGCATTTTTTCGCAAATGTATTCTCCCTTGGTCTAAAAATAAATATATTAAGGAATGGTCCCTTAAATGATGGACAGAATGAAGGCTTTGTACTCATCCCTGCTTTTAAAAATACAGGGTATGTTAATAAGCGCCGGGCATCTAATAAGTGCCGGGTCTGGAGGTCCGTTGAAAACATAAACGCCGAGGGCGCCTATTAGAGGAAATACGGTAATCAAATACATGCAGTTGAATGGGGAACATTTCTGGAATTGTGCCCCCTTGCCCACCTGGAGCGCCATCTGTTGGCGAAATGATAAAGGGAGATAACTGAGGAACATTCCCCATTAGATTTCATCACCAGACAAGGACACTAGTCACTAAAAGTTCGTAAAATATATATATCTAGGGGCAAAAAAACAAAAATTTGTAAAAAGGATTTCTTAAAGTGTTGACTGGCATGACGGATGCTAAAAAGTAAGGTTACTGTCTGTAAAAGTAACATTATGTCTGTTAAATTGAGGTAACTGTCTGTCAAAGTTGTTGTCTTAGGCCCCACAACAGAGTACAATGTATCTGGTCCACACCTACATCATTCCCAGCATGATCATCCCCAAATATTGGGATTTTCATTTTACTGATATTTATCCAAGGGCAGGGCACTCTAACCTGCTTTCCCAAGTATAAACTGCACATAATACAAGGTGTGTACATAACACAACAGTTTTACGGGACAACTCAGCAACATGTGTTACAGTCCCTTGGCCATCACTAACAACAAATCATGGAACTTGGTATATAAAGTGTACCAATATGTATATCGACACTTGACAATTCAACATTTTTTCCATACAGTACATATCCACACGATCTTATTGAACAAAATGGAATCTAAAATCTGATAAAAGCTGCCCCCCACCAAAATTAAAAAATGCATAAGTAAATTTAGGGATTTCAAATGTTTCTAAAAATAGATCATTGAGGTATTTCATACATTTCATAGGAAAACATTCCGTGAAAAAAAAATCACAGCACCAAATTTATTTCTGGTAAGACCTTTTACCGGGTACCCTGTACATTAAAGTTGGGATTACAGATTCTAGTACTGGGGTTTGAACCTACAGTGTTGGAGCCTGACACCTAATCGCCAGCACACGAAGTCAGCGATCTAACCCTCTCAGGTTGATTTTTCGTGTATGCTGTCTGGCGATTAGGTTCCTGACTGTGAGAGTATAGGTTCCAATCCCAAATGGGACTCAACCCATCAAAAGTACTAGAATCTGTACTTTACTGAGAAAGTGAAATCCCAAACATAACAAGTGTTCCATTTGACCACTTCCTAAATGTCATTTTGTATTCATAGATATGAACATACTGATATCACCATCATCAAGTATTTGTCATGATAATAAAATAATAATCATACTGCAGACATGGATGTAAGTATATAAGTATAATAATACCCGTAAGGGTTGAAATATTGAGTGTGATTAGATAGGTGCATTGCACAGTCAAAACAATAACAAATTAATCATTCAAAATATACATTATGAATAGTAATGCCACTGAATAATATTTATATCACCAGTTGTATTATATCATCATGCTATAAGCTTAGAGTCATGGCACAGGTAGATTCACTAAATGTCTTATTCTGTCATTACATTCAGAGCAGTTTCAAATGTTGAAACCACGGTGTATGTGTTTTATGAGGTTTATATGCAACAGTGGATGATTATAAGCAGTTTTTGGCTGTTTAAGTAGCACTTGGTCACATATAACACATTTAAGTCATAGATTAAGGACACTCTCTAAGGTAATATTAAATTTTGACAACAGTCTGTCATACATTGTCATAGATTGTCCGAAGGCTAAACACATCTGACTTACTGGCAAACAAGGATAAGTTGGACCGGCGCAGAGAACGTGTTTACGAGAAGTAGGCGGTGCACGGCAATGAGCAAACCCATTTGGTTTGTGAAAGGTAGAGCAGATGTAGGCTAGTGCACGTGCATTGTATGACGATGAAATTGAGTCCACTCGTAGCTTTCGAACTCGGTGTTTGCTGAGACAGGCCACTCGCTTCACCCATTGCACAACACTGGATTGCGGACAACCTGGGGCCCCTCCCCTAACAATGGCAAGCGCCAGTGGGCGGCACTCATACATGCTAATATGGGTCAATTGTTAAGTTGCTGCTCAACTTATCCTTGTTTGCCAGTATGTGCTCGCCACACGATAACCAGTTACCTGCCCTAAGAGGCCCAGGACTAAAACATATGGGAGAAGGATCTGGTCACATTTGTCTCCATAGTGAATGTCTCTGAGCATATTCTGAGGGAAACTGTTCCTCCTAGCCATATTGTTTATCAAGAACATGAAATCCTTCACATAGACTGGTTCCTGGCAATATTTGAAATGCATCCTCTTCATTGTTCAGGCCAATCTATTTTCATTAATCTAGCCTGAAAGGGATTGCTCTTCTGTTTCACACAAGACATCCATCATTGGAAGTAGTAAATGATACATTTAGGGTTTTATCTTCAGAATAAAATAGAATAAAAAAATAATTATATAAAAAATGGGAAATATCATCACAGAGTAAAAGATGGTGAGGTGAGGTGAAACTGGCTTTAACGTCGTGCTTGAGAATATTTCGCTCATATGACGTGTATGAGTGTGTATGTGTATGCGCGGCTACTTGTACTAGCCCAGACTGAAGCTGGTTTTATAGTGCTAGCCCACTGAGATACCATGCCGCAGTGAAGCATGAATACCCCACTCAGACACATTATACTGACTCCGAGCCGACCAGTCCTTGTTGTACCCATTAATGCCGAGCCCCAGGCAGGGACCAACAAGTACCATATTTTAACGTCTTTTGGTACGACGCGGTCGGGGATCGAACCCGCCACCTTCCGCTCTCTGGGCGGACACTCTAACCACTACATCACGGAGGCGGTCAGTAAAAGATGGTAACATGTGTATAAACTATATATGCAAAGTTCACTGTTACTAAGTTAACTAAAGTAAGTAATTAAAACCGGGTCCACTGATGACAAAATGGTGACAAACTCAGGTGGTGACACTTGGTGACAGGCTAAAGACAGTTGACATCATTGAGCTGGTGTCTCAACATTTAGCAATGTCTTCAAGAACAATGTTGATCGGTCTGAAAATGTCAAAAAGGGACATAGTATCACCAAAATCACATCAATAATCACTCCTTGTAGTTTCCATACAAAAGATCAATTCAAACTGAAATGAATGCTACATCTTACACTCAGATGAAGGGGCGGTTGGGTAGCCTAATGGTTAAAGCGTTCGCTCGTCACGCTGATGACCCGGGTTCGATTACCCACATGGGTACAATGTGTAAAGCCCATTTCTGGTGTCCCCGCCATGATATTGCTGGAATATTGCTAAAACCAGCAGAAGACTAAACTCACTAACTCACTCGCCACACTTGAATGAAAATACATACACAATTTTGAAACATGCACAAAAATTACAGAAATAATAGACATAATTACATCTGTATCTTGCAATAGATTTCTTTCCTCTCTATATCTATGTGCATCAAATCACATCAAGGGCAAGGGCATGTAACTCTGTACACACATCACATACACAGAGAATGCTACACTTGTTAGATATTATTTGTGTACAATTATATATCATTCACATCTCAAACCCTTCTTATTTACAGACTGCCGCCATATAGCTGAAATATTGCTGAGTGTTGCGTAAAACAACAAACCAACCAACCCAAACCCTTCATTACCTATACTTTAGCTGAAGGGGTCGTTGTTGGCACTGGTACTACAGATATGTACCCCAGGTACATTTCTGTATACAGAACGTTTCTGTATACAGAAACGTACCCTGGCCATAATGAGAATACAGAAACGTACCCTAGGACGATTCCATTCCCATTGTGTCGTATTCTTGATCGGAACTGTCATGCTGTTGTATTAGATACATTTGATTGCTTTATGTAAGTAATGAGAATACACAGTAACGGATATTTCGCGATGCATATGAATACCACTTGCAATCAGTTGAACGGGAACAACTACATGCGGTTTCGGTTTTGGATTGAGGAATATGGACTCGTCCGCCTTTTAGGTACCGGGTACGTTTCTGTATTTTGACTTTGTTTAGGGTACATATCTGTATACAGAAGCATACCTGGGGTAAGTATCTGTAGTACCTGTGCCGACGACGACCCATTCAGCTATACTTTAGCACAAGGCAAGGGCGTGTAACTCTAAACACACTTGAGTGCTACATATCTACAGATAGACTTTTATAAATATGGTATCTGACAGGTTTGGTATTTTATTCACCACACATGTTGAATTAGTACATAAATTCAAATAAATAGGAACTTTCTTTTTTGTAACACCCCTTTCTGGTGGACAGTATCAACTCTCGTGATATTGCTTGAATATTACTAAAAATAACAAAAAATCAAATCACTAACATACCCTCCCAAATGCATTTGACAAACCAAACCCTATGTGGTTGATGAATCATACCTGACATGGGTATTGTTTACGTTTCTAGGCACACATATTATTATAGTATTCCTGCTTGAGGTGGCAGTGGGGTAGCCTAGTGGTAAAAGCGTTCGCTTATCATGCCAAAGACCGGGGTTCGATTCCCTACATGGGTACAATGTGTGAAGCCCATTTCTGGTGTTCCCCGCCGTGATATTGCTGGAATATTGCTAAAAGCGGCGTAAAACCCAACTCACTCACTCACTCATCTCTTTTAGCAGTAACAGGGCTCCAGACAACTTTTGTGGGTGTGGGTGTACTGACACATCATATTGCAAGTGGAGGTGTACTGAGCATTTTGAAGAAATACTGACATGTTTTTGTGTGAGCGAGTTGGTGATGGGGTTTGTCTGGACGATTCATCGATCACTATTTCCAACCATGTATTTGTATTTGAAGACGAGTGAGAAATAACTAAGGACCGTGTGATGCGCGAAATGTCAGGTCTGACTGGACATAAATAGGAACAGTGTAGTTTTTAGCCAATCGAAAAATAGTGACACATATCGTTGCATGCAACGCAAGGGATTCCCACTGCCGGGGTTTCCTCATGTGTCAAATCTCGTTTCGCAAAAGAATCTCTTGACAACAAGTATATATCCGAAATAGATTTCCATTTGCACGATACGCACGGAAATTAAATGTTAGACGTACAAAGGTATTTATGTGAGTACATGATACGCTTGAAATCTTATATTATGTCGTACTTTGATTTTGTGGCGTACATTACGCCTGTACGCCCCTTATCTGTAGCCCTGAGTAATGGACTAGGAGCATCTTTCTGTGCCCTCCATAACAACTCCTGCTTCATCTTGTTTCATCAGAACTTACCCATGAATCTGACAAATGACTTTGGCTTGGATTTCCACATGATAAAGATGAAATAGACTGGTATCCCTACTGCAACTATCCCCAGACACAAGCCCAGTTCTTTTGGCTTCTTGTAGATGGACAGACAGATGAGCACTACAGACAGAATCAGCTCCACTATGGGTATGATGAGGGGCACCTGCAACACAGACAGATCAGCACTGCAGACAGAATCAGCTCCACTATGAGCATGATGAGGGGCACCTGCAACACAGATAGATCAGCACTGCAGACAGAATCAGCTCCACTATGAGCATGATGAGGGGAACCTGCAACACAGACAGATCAGCACTGCAGACAGAATCAGCTCCACTATGGGCACGATGAGGGGCACCTGCAACACAGACAGATCAGCACTACAGACAGAATCAGCTCCACTATGAGCACGATGACGGGCACCTGCAACACAGACAGATCAGCACTACAGACAGAATCAACTCCACTATGGGCATGATGAGGGGCACCTGCAACACAGACAGATCAGCACTGCAGACAGAATCAGCTCCACTATGAGCATGATGAGGGGCACCTGCAACACAGACAGATCAGCACTGCAGTCAGAATCAGCTCCACTATGGGCATGATGAGGGGCACCTGCAACACAGACAGATCAGCACTGCAGACAGAATCAACTCCACTATGGGCATGATGAGGGGCACCTGCAACACAGACAGATCAGCACTGCAGACAGAATCAGCTCAACTATGAGCATGATGAGGGGCACCTGCAACACAGACAGATCAGCACTGCAGACAGAATCAGCTCCACTATGAGCATGATGAGGGGAACCTGCAACACAGACAGATCAGCACTGCAGACAGAATCAACTCCACTATGGGTATGATGAGGGGCACCTGCAACACAGACAGATCAGCACTGCAGACAGAATCAGCTCCACTATGAGCACGATGAGGGGCACCTGCAACACAGACAGATCAGCACTGCAGACAGAATCAGCTCCACTATGGGCATGATGAGGGGCACCTGCAACACAGACAGATCAGCACTACAGACAGAATCAGCTCCACTATGAGCACGATGAGGGGCACCTGCAACATGCACTGCAGACAGAATCACTCCACTGCAACACAGACAGATCAGCACTACAGACAGAATCAGCTCCACTATGAGCACGATGAGGGGCACCTGCAACACAGACAGATCAGCACTGCAGACAGAATCAGCTCCACTATGGGCATGATGAGGGGCACCTGCAACACAGACAGATCAGCACTGCAGACAGAATCAGCTCCACTATGAGCATGATGAGGGGCACCTGCAACACAGACAGATCAGCACTACAGACAGAATCAGCTCCACTATGGGCATGATGAGGGGCACCTGCAACACAGACAGATCAGCACTGCAGACAGAATCAACTCCACTATGGGTATGATGAGGGGCACCTGCAACACAGACAGATCAGCACTGCAGACAGAATCAGCTCCACTATGGGCATGATGAGGGGCACCTGCAACACAGACAGATCAGCACTACAGACAGAATCAGCTCCACTATGGGCATGATGAGGGGCACCTGCAACACAGACAGATCAGCACTGCAGACAGAATCAGCTCCACTATGGGTATGATGAGGGGCACCTGCAACACAGACAGATCAGCACTGCAGACAGAATCAGCTCCACTATGGGCATGATGAGGGGAACCTGCAACACAGACAGATCAGCACTACAGACAGAATCAACTCCACTATGAGCATGATGAGGGGCACCTGCAACACAGACAGATCAGCACTACAGACAGAATCAGCTCCACTATGAGCACGATGAGGGGCACCTGCAACACAGACAGACTCTTGTAATTTGTACTCAGGTTCCATCATAAGAAGGTCCAGCACGTGAGGCATCTAAAGATGCTATAGTTTGTTTGTTGTTTAACGGTGCACTCAGCAATATTCCAGCTACATGGTGGCGGTCTGTAAATAATAGAGTCTGGACCAGACAATCACATTTGGTTTCTCTGTCTATAATGGTTCCTGAGAAAATCTGTTGGGGATAACGTGCACTAAGTCAAGAAACGAAAGACAAGTTCCATAATACAGTTTCCGTTTTCGAACTCCATCAAGGCATCCTTGTTTTGAAAATACATACCACATGTGGTTTCTCTATCTATAATGATGAGAAAATCTGTCCTGATAGGGCATACTATGCACTAAGTCAAGAAATGCATGACAAGGGCCATAACTCTGTAACAAATTGTAACACAGTTTCCGTTTTCGACCTCCATCAAAGCATTCATGTCACCTTTCGTGGTGGGGATAATAAAGTGAGATTTGTATAACTCATAGAATCCAAATATTTTAATCTAGGTAGTGTATAGATGTTATATTTGGGATTACACTTTCTCAGATACTCAGCATTTTGTGTGATACAATTTTGAGTGACTTTAGTCCCAACTGACACATAACAATGGCGATGACTATGCAGTACAACAGTTGTGTCAGACCTACACTTGTCAGAGGGGTACACAAAGCTGTGGTCTAGACTACCAGTTGTCCGACATCAATTTTTCTGGAAGCTGCATTGGCTGAGTGGGTTAGATCGCTGACTTTGTGTGCTGGCGATTAGGTGCCGGACTCTGAAAGTGTGGGTTTGAATCTTGGATGGGACCGAACCCAACAAAAGTAGAAGAATCTGTACTTCACTGAGAAAGTGTAATCCCAAATATAACATGTGTTACATATGACCTCTTTTGAAAAGAGCTGCCATGTAGCTGGAATATTGCTGAGTGCCGTGTAAAACTAAACTCACTCACTCTTTCGAAATGACATTGTGTATTCCCAGCTTTCGTCCGTGGGAGTCGTGCCAATTTACACTTGTCAGAGAGGTGTGATCTATACTAACAGTTGTCTGAGTTCCATTTTTGTAGAAGTCGCAGTGGCTGAGTGGGTTAGATGGCTGACTTTGTGTGCTGGCGATTAGGTGCCTGACTCTGAGAGTGTGGGTTCGAATCCCGGATGGGACTCGACCCAACAAAAGTATTTGAATCTGTACTTTACTGAGAAAGTGTAATCCCAAATATAACATTTGTTACAGTACGCCTGCTCTGATTTCAATATAAGCCAATATTACTGTTACAGTCATATGTTAACCTGGGCAGGGTTTTGGTTGATTTGCCTTGACTTACCTTAATTGGCCTTTTCACAGTTGGTTTCTTCCAGCGTAGATACAGCAGCACAACTATGACTGAGGATGTCATCAGACAAGTGTACAGACTCATGGCGTCAATCAGACTCACAACAGACCCAGAGAATAACACGGCCAGTGCCGGTACGCTCTGAAATGTGACAGACTTTCTCTATTATCATTCAGGTAGCTGAGAATATTGAGAATTCATTTGACACAGGTAAAAATGTCCTTCTTATAAAGCACACCATTGTGGAATCTTCATGTTTTAAACACAGGTAATTCTCAGAGAGTTAAACTTAGGTATTACATGAAATATTTTATTGGCTTATAGAAAGTGGAAGAATGTGACTATTTTTTGAAACAGTGTTACGGAGGTACTTCGTGCCGCCTCATCAAGTCAATACTGAGTAAGTCCATAGAGTAAATATGTATTTGTATATGTATGAGTATGTGCATATATATATAGAGAGAGAGAGAGTACTAGGAAACCCTGCAAAAGGACACTGTATCCAAGTCCAACCAGCCCTATCCACGATCCTTGTCAGCATCCTTTATCAAGGCCCTGCCAGTCACCAGATCAGCAGGTAGCTCACCAGAACAGCCAACATAGGTGACGTGAGGTGAGGTGAAATTGGGTTTAACGTCGTGCTTGAGAATATTTCGCTCATATGACGACTTGCCCAGACTTAAGCTGGTTTTATAGTGCTAGCCCACTGAGATACCATGCCGCAGTGAAGCATGAATACCCCACTCAGACACATTATACTGACTCCGAGCCGACCAGTCCTTGATGTACCCATTAATGCTACCATGAGCGTCTTTTGGTATGACGCGGTCGGGGATCGAACCCGCGACCTTCCGCTCTCTGGGCGGACGCTCTAACCACTACACCAGGGAGGCTGTCCAGCCAACATAGATGAAACAGTTACCTCTGACAGGACACTTAGGAACATCTTACACGCCAGTGGTATAGGTTTCATCCAGTCCACCCTTAACCCAAGGGGATGCATGTACAAATATTCATGCAATGGTAGAGACAGATATATTGGAAAGACATGCTTCAACGACACCAGAATAATAATACAAAAAGCCCATGTTAAAAAAATCTGACATAAAATCTGCCCTTTCGGAAAATCTCATCTAAATTATGACCACCATTTCCCTGGCACATAAAAACAAGATTCTCCAAACCAACATCACCCAGGAAAAGATAAAAGTTCAAGAGACTATTGAAATCTACAGCAGGAAGGCAGCTACCTACCATATGATCAACCACAAGTGGATACCTTCATTGGGTTACCGTAGTGGTACCACCCACCTCCAGTACTACTCACTCTTGGCACTTATTTGGCTTCTCGAACACTAATCTCATTGGTTTTGCTACTATGATTATCTTCATACAATAATCATATCTCGTGTAAACATATCATGTGTGTGTGTGTGTGTGTGCGTGCGCGTGCGCGCACACGTGTGTGTGCATGCGTCTTGTATGTGTGTGTATGTGTGAGAGAGAGAGAGAGAGAGTGAGTGAGAGTGAGAGGGTGAGAGAGAGTGAGAGAGAGAGAGAGAGAGAGAGAGAGTGAGTACGCATGTGCACTTGTGTGTTTTTGTTTTGTGTGTCTGTTCTCTGTGCGTGTGTGTGCATGCATGTGTGAAAGGGCAAGAAATACCACTGAAACATCATTACAACAATTACAAACTTTTCTTAAAATGTCACATGTTCTTATTATTTCACTTTCATCATAACTTCAATAAACTTTAACTTAAACTTTTAGACACGAAAATGCTTCATTGTGGCTAGAAGAAAATTCCTTTAAAAACAAGTTACATATATGGACAAAGCTTTCTTGAATCTCTAAGACCTTCATAATCTAAAGGAATTTTAAATGCTGTATCTAGTTTAAAACTCTGCAGCTGGCAGTTCTCTGCAGTACAGCTACACTTCCTTTTTTATATACATTTTGAGTCCATATGTACAATTTGCCTCTGCTCAAACTCACAATAAAGATGGTTGCTGGCCACGGTGTGAGATACTTCCTGTTGATCATACTCATGATGCGCGGCATATGCCCATTACACCCAGCGGCAAACACCATCCTGGAAACATGAACATATAGCTGAAATACAACACACACAACTGAAAACACCATCCTGGAAACATGAACATGTAGCTGAAATACAACACACACAACTGAAAACACCATCCTGGAAACATGAACATGTAGCTGAAATACAACACACACAACTGAAAACACCATCCTGGAAACATGAACATATAGCTGAAATACAACACACACAACTGAAAACACCATCCTGGAAACATGAACATGTAGCTGAAATACAACACACACAACTGAAAACACCATCCTGGAAACATGAACATATAGCTGAAATACAACACACACAACTGAAAACACCATCCTGGAAACATGAACATATAGCTGAAATACAACACACACAACTGAAAACACCATCCTGGAAACATGAACATAAAACACCATATCCTGGAAACATGAACTGAAAAATACAACACACACAACTGAAAACACCATCCTGGAAACATGAACACATGAACATCCTGGAAACATGAGCTGAAAATACAACACACACAACTGAAAACACCATCCTGGAAACATGAACATGTAGCTGAAATACAACACACACAACTGAAAACACCATCCTGGAAACATGAACATGTAGCTGAAATACAACACACACAACTGAAAACACCATCCTGGAAACATGAACATGAAAATACAACACACACAACTGAAAACACCATCCTGGAAACATGAACATGCTGAAATACAACACACACAACTGAAAACACCATCCTGGAAACATGAACATATAGCTGAAATACAACACACACAACTGAAAACACCATCCTGGAAACATGAACATATAGCTGAAATACAACATCCTGGAAACATGAACACTGAAATACAACACACACTGAAAACACCATCCTGGAAACATGAACATATAGCTGAAATACAACACACACAACTGAAAACACCATCCTGGAAATGATGAACATGTAGCTGAAATACAAAATACAACACACACAACTGAAAACACCATCCTGGAAACATGAACATGTAGCTGAAATACAACACACACAACTGAAAACACCATCCTGGAAACATGAACATATAGCTGAAATACAACACACACAACTGAAAACACCATCCTGGAAACATGAACATACAACACAAACAACTGAAAACACCAGCTGAAATACAAACACACAACTGAAAACACCATCCTGGAAACATGAACATGTAGCTGAAATACAACACACACAACTGAAAACACCATCCTGAAACATGAACATATAGCTGAAATACAACACACACAACTGAAAACACCATCCTGGAAACATGAACATATAGCTGAAATACAACACACACAACTGAAAACACCATCCTGGAAACATGAACATATAGCTGAAATACAACACACACAACTGAAAACACCATCCTGGAAACATGAACATGTAGCTGAAATACAACACACACAACTGAAAACACCATCCTGGAAACATGAACATGTAGCAAATCAACACACACAACTGAAACATGAACATGAACATGTAGCTGAAATACAACACACACAACTGAAAACACCATCCTGGAAACATGAACATGCTGAAATACAACACACACAACTGAAAAACACCATCCTGGAAACATGAACATACTGAAATACAACACACACAACTGAAAACACCATCCTGGAAACATGAACATGTAGCTGAAATACAACACACACAACTGAAAACACCATCCTGGAAACATGAACATATAGCTGAAATACAACACACACAACTGAAAACACCATCCTGGAAACATGAACATGTAGCTGAAATACAACACACACAACTGAAAACACCATCCTGGAAACATGAACATGTAGCTGAAATACAACACACACAACCGAAAACACCATCCTGGAAACATGAACATGTAGCTGCTGAAATAAACAACACACACAACACACAACTGAAAAACACCATCCTGGAAACATGAACATGTAGCTGAAATACAACACACACAACCGAAAACACCATCCTGGAAACATGAACATATAGCTGAAATACAACACACACAACCGAAAACACCATCCTGAAAACATGAACATATAGCTGAAATACAACACACACCCCTGCAACCACTTTATTGCTGACATTATCAACGCAATATTAATTATTAACTCAGTCATAAAATGTCTAAACACATGATATGCTAATATGGTCACATTTCATCAATTGTTCTCACACATGATCAACTTGTTCTAATCACTATAATTGAACATTACAATGAAAATCTATTTCTGTCATTTTTAATATCTCTCAGCATCTTACAAAAAATCACACATAACTAAAGCATGTTTACGATAACAATGCCCACGAGGCTGGAATCTGCATGCAAACTCAGGCAGCATATCAGTAACTAATTATTTTCGTAAATCTCATCCAAAAAGTGTATAATGTAACCATTGAAATATAAACTGCCACAAACAATGTTAGATGTATTGCGAAAACAATGTTTATTGAATTGGTACAATAAAAGGAACAATTACATGTATTGTTAGTAATTGTTAGTAAACTTACCTTTGGATTATGGTAGCCTTATTCCTGTGGATTCACAGAATACATACAGAAAATCAAATGAAATTTTAACACTAAGTCATAGCTATTCCTAGTTGTATACCTAATCTACCCCTGAGTTATCTCCCTTGATCCTGACGTCACTGTATTGTTCTCCTAGAACCCTTCATAATTTTTCTAAAAAACAACACATCAATGACATCTTCTAAGGATAAATTCACGGGGAGGACACAGGGTGGGAACTACTCCCCATAATCCAGAGGTAAGTTTACTAACAATTACTAACAATACATGTAATTGTTCCTAATTATAACATAAACATTCCCTCTGGATTATGGTAACCTGAATCCCAAGTAAGGAAGGAGGGTTACCCTTGGAAAATACTACCCTCTATACCACCATCTGAGAGTTGATGGCTCAACCTCCTAAGAATAACTATGACTTAGTCAGAGATAAATAATTTATCTCCAGTTTGGTCAGTAGCAGTGAGGGAATACATCCCCAGAGAAGGAGGGTCTTCAAACTTCCTATAGTTATGGTTGATATGATAGATATCATGATTATCCTAATCCGTATTAGTAGGAATTACATAATTCCTGACTCCTTAAATCCGGATTATGCTAGATTCCTATGAATATATCATGATTGTATTCGAATCCCGAATTGTGTCATTAAACCTAATATTCCTTAAACTTATGATGTCACTTCCGGTAATTATGACGTCACTTCCTGTTTGATGACCTCACTTCCGGTCTAATGACGTCACTTCCGGTTCCTAGAGACAATCTCTATGATGTAATAATAATTAGTTTGGGTGACGTCACTTCTGGTCTTATTTACGTCACTTCCGGTTCTATGACGGTACTTCCGGTTAACTATCGTTAGACTATAATTGTGTTCAACTCAACCTAAGGTAACCACCTTGAGCTCATAATCATATTTTAACGTGAAGCCATCAACCATAGCTCAGAAGTTAGAACTCTGTCCATATTGTGTGACACGGTTACGTGATACACCTAAATGTAAATTTTCTTACCATGTCAACTTGTCTTGCTACATGCTGACCCTTGACCAGTATCCATCCATCATCTGAGTGGACCCCTCAGACAGTCCCAGGCACTATCTCTCACTGCGTCAACACGCACGCACGCACGCACGCACGCGACGCGACGCGACGCCTTGCGCCGACGATGCCGCGCATCGCCGCTTCGCGCGCGCCGCGACGCGACGCGCACGCACGCACGCACACACACCAAAAGGGCAGTCAGGCGGAGGCAAGGTGCTGAGCTGCTACTAAAGGTCCTAATGAATGTAAACCTTCAATAGAGGGAGCAACATCCCTGAGGTAAAAATGGATAAAGGTATTAGGAGATTTCCATTGACAACTAGACACAACTTGTTCTAACGGAACTGATGAAGCTAGGGCTCTAATTTCATGGGGGGAGAATTTAAAGGTCACATGCAATGTAAAACACAACTTTGCAGATTCTGATACCTTTCGGTATGGACTTACCGAAACAAAGCGTCAAAAATGCAAATTCAACTTATAAAGTTGAAAAATCACGCGATGAAAAAAAACGCGCGAAATCAGAGTTCAAACGTTTCACTAATTTTCCCCCAGACTTTTCTGGGGAAAACGGGTTTCAACAGCTGGGCTGCGCTCATAGCACGTTCGCAGTGAAATAGGTTCGCAGCTAGGAAGCGGGTCGTCGGTTGAATACTCGGTGAAGGCTTTGGTGTGAGCTATTTTTCTAATGTTTTGTTGATATCTCACAGGCGCGAGCTTTTTATATGTTATGACAGTAAACTAACTGTTCATTAATTTTATTTGTCTATTTCACCACACGTTCTTCTTACCGAGACACTTCCTCAGTTCGATACATAAAAGCAATGTTATTATTTAGCATTGACAGAATTTCTAACTGTGATATAGATATGTCGTTGTCACAGACAAAACTCAACTTCTTGTTTAATTGACACCTGTGTGTCTGCCTACCTGTCTGCTAATGACAATATGCAAAACAAAGCTGCTATCACTGACTACATGCAATTTGAACTTAACACCAATCAGGCTATACACCATAAACAAAACGCATTGATTTATGGCCCGAGTTCGGTCTCTGTCACATTATGTAATTACACAGACAGGCAGGTGTGATACTTGAACACATGACATGTTATGACGTCTGTTGATTGCAAAATGTTATACACAAAAAATGAGCATGTATTTACAAAACCCAACATCTATATATACTACCCATCAAAAGTTTAGACTCACTTAAAGCACTCACTATATGTTATGTATATGTATGTGGTTACATCGAAGATGAATTTCTCCACCAACTTGGGGGAACCAACTGAAAACCTTATGCAGATGAATTGCACAAGGATGATGCTTCAAATTGCGAAAGGCATGAGCAAATGTCGTGCATGTGAACAGATTCGTTTTGGTGTAAAGTTTTGTTAAGAATTCGCCAATTTTCAC